GAATGGAAGGTAAAGGCAGTTCATTCCTGTGGCGTATGCTTGCTGAACACCTAATATAACGTATGGATGAACAAAACAGACAAGGTCCTGCCTTCAGTGTGTGGGAGTCGTTACTACTCATACACGTGATCATGCAAGTGAATTAAAATGTGAATGAGGCCGCCCGAGGTAGGTGCGGGTGCTGAGAACAGCTGAACAGAAGGCTGCTGTGTGCTGAGCGCCGGGGCGGGTAGGAGCTGACTGGTAGAGGGGTGACAAGACATGGCACCTCCACCACCGGCCGTCGGTGTCTGAGCACGCGCCCACCTGAGGCACGTGGCGAGGGACCGCTGGACACAGGGGAGGACACGAAGGGAGCGGGGCAGCAAGTATGAAGGCACTCTGAGAAATGGGATCGGACATGACAGGAGCAAAGGTTCCGTCGGCAAGGGGAGAGTCTGTCTCACGTGTTGTTCGTTGTGGGCAGGGCGCCGGGAGGCAGCCTGGGTGGTGTGACAGGGTTCGTCGGTCCAGGGAAGGGACTAGTCAACAGGGAGGGGAGTTTATGGAGCAGGTTCCAGAACAGGCCGAGGGCCGGGGGTCACGAGAAACGGCTGCTGTCTCCTCTCGGTTCCCCCTAGAGAAGGACAAGCACAGAGATATCCAGGGCCCCCTCCCTTTGTAGTCCTGCCCAGGGCTCAGGCTCTCACCGTGACGCTCTTTGGGGCAAAAGCAAAAATCCCAAGGTAGTTCAGTGGAAATCATCACAGAACAAGACATTGTACCAGGGTCACTTTAGGACTAGGCAGAGGCATGAGAAGCCCCGCAGCAGGGACAAGAGGAAAGTAATTTAGTTTGGGACTCGGGGGTCCAGGGTGGGGAATTGACTCAATGACCGTCACAGTGCCCCTCACTCCGTGAGGCATTTGTCTGTTCCGTGTGTCTTACCGAAGTAGTCATTCATGTCTTGTGATAGGTGCTAGGTGCACGAGAGGAGACGCACGAGGCAATGTAAACACATAAGGTCACCGCTCAGGGCTGTGACAGGGACCGAGAAGGGACTGTGTGGCACAGGGACCCATCCCCACAGCTGAGGGCTTGGGTGTCGGAGGCTGTAATGAGAATTCTGGGCAATGCGCCTCTTTTCCTTCTGCCATCCCCACTCCTCAGAGCCTGGAAGGGGTGAAGAAATTACCAAAGAAAGTCCTGTTTGTACTTAATCACCAGATTGGTGGTTACAGAGTAGCCACTGAGATGTGAATGACAGCCTGAGGAACACAGTCACTATATTGTGCCCTGACCGGTTTGGCTCAGCAGTTAGAGCGTCAGCCCGCAGACTGGAGAGTCCTGGGTTCGGTTCCAGCTAAGGGCATGTACCTAGGTTGCCACTTGTCCCTGGCCCCCGTTGGGGTCGTGTGGGTGGTAGCCGGTCGATATGTTTCTCTCACTTCGATGTTTCTCTCTCTCTCTTCCTCCCTCTCTCCCTCTCGCTCTATTGCAAAAATGTCCTCGGGTGAGGATAAAAAATATATATTGTAATAACTATGTATGGGCCCAAGTGGGCACTTGAAATATTGGTGGGAGGAGCAGTCTAACTACGCTGTACACTTGAAACTAAGACAGAACAAAGAGCTGCCCCAGACAGTCGCTTTTCCAAAGTCCACGTTTCTGGGCAGCAGGGCTCACCTGGAGCTCTGCAGACTTCCGAACGCCTCGCTGCGGCACACCCCTCCCTGGCCCCGGAAAGGTAGCTTTCCCTTGTCCAAGGGCCTTCACACCCAGAACCCCCGTGTCCGGCCGGCAGCTTGTCCTCCTCCACACCCGCATTCCGTACCCACGACCCTCCAGACCATGCACCGGGCCTTTGTCTAGGAAGCTTCAAGCCTCCTCCTGGTCCACGCCTTGTCCTGGGCCCGATCAGGGCTCCCACTCATCTTTGGCTTCTAGCCTCCAAGTCCCCTCGTCCACGGCCACACAGAAAGGTGGTCAGCACAGTGGGCGCCCCAGCCCTTCAGTGCAGGAAGGCTGCACCTACCTCTGGGCATTTGGTGTGACTCACCCAAAGGAGTCCACTCCCCCACACCGGACACAGGAAGGACAAATGTCCTTCCATTACAGGGATTCAGCTCCAAACCTCAAAGCAGAGGGGCCTTCCCCACCTGCAGCCAGAGGCCCTGTCCAAGCTTTCCTTCCGGCCCATCCCACAGTGATGTGAGTCTTTTCATGTCTTGAGAGAACCAAGACCTTGTACGTGGACTTCTGCCCGTGGACTTCACCTGATCAGCCCCTGGCCACGCCTCCAGACAGCTTCCTTCCCACCACTGCGGACCCCCTAGCGTCTGGACTTACTTCTCTCAAAACACTTCTTCCTTAACAGTTGCATCCCCCCAAAGATGTTAGTCCTTCCAGGGCCTGGTTTCTCGTCTTGTACCAGGTGGGACCCTCAGGGCTTTGTGTCTGATTCACAGTGGGCACTCAGTACATATGTGATGAGCAAAAAAGAAATGAAACTGTACTACACAGACAATAGGAATTGTTATTCTAGAAGACAGTGGGGCTGGGGTAGGAGGCGTATAAGTAGCTATTCTCTTAAATTTTCTTTACCAGCCGTTGCCCAGAGGTCCATGTGGCCTCGGCCAGCAACACAACCCTGCCTGGGAACTTCTTAGAAACTCAGGTCTGGGTTCCACCCCAGACCTGCTGATTCAGAAACCCGGAGCATGGGCTCGGAAACCTGCGTTTCGAATAACACTCCCAAGTGATACTGCTCACAATCACATCTGAGAACCGCCGTCCCAGTCGGAGGCCGTGCTTGGGCCCAGATATGTAAATATTAAACATCAGAAAAATTGGACAAAGTTTTCAGCTAACCAAACACTTCTTCATTCTCAGCCTCCCCTTGCAGGAGCTGTTGTGGGTCAGCAGCAGATGCCGTAAGAGGTTTTCTTTAGCTCCATTCCACGGATGAAAATACTAAGGTTGAAACAAAACCCAACTTTTTCAAATGCTAAAATTAAAACAGGCAAAGTCAATGCAGGGACAGGCCCGACGCTCTGCAGACTGACACGGAGTCACTCAGAAGCCAGTAAAATAAAATCAAGCACAGAGAAGCCCGAGTCCGGAGCGTGAGCCCTTTCCCCGCACGCCCAGGCTGGCGGCTCCAGCACCTGAACTCTCGGGAGGTTCTGGGCCTCGGCTTCCTCAGGACTCTAGTCAGCCCTCAGGACAATTACCCACACACTGCTTCAATGGAAAAACAGGGTAGTTTTTTTTAAGTCAAAATACCCAATTCATGTCACCCCAAAATGGCGTTTGGTTTTTCAAACCTGCTGCCTGTCCAGGGATGAAGAACCCACCTGTAGGAACCAGCCTGATACGGAGGTCCTGGCACAAACACCTAAGCCTGGGGGGAGGTGGCTGGAGCACAAGTTCTGGGAAATGGGGACAAAGCTGGACACTCAAGGGCTTGTGTGGGTTTGAGTGGCCATCTGGCGCCCCCTTGTGTTCAGTGTCTGGACCCAAAGAGCCGGACCAGGACGGAATGACAGTGGCACAGCTGCCCCGTCTGCAGGGAAGGGCTGTGGCCAGTGAGGAGCCAACAAAATGGGCTCAGGGGTGGGCACAGGCCAGGCCTCCGCCTCTGGGCGGCCCCGATGCCCCTCCGGGTTTCTTCCCAGCCCTGGTGGAAAGCCCTGGTGGAAAGTACTCGGGGACAAGTTGCCTGGAACGGGAGGGTTGGAGGGTGTGCCCAAGCTCACCAGGAAGATGGGTCACTGTGTCCCTCCTGCCAGGTGCTTGGCCAGCGGGCTTTTCCTCCTGACTCACTGCCCAGGCCGGAGGCTTTGGACCTTTTTTTTTTTTTCAAGGAAAATAACTATTGTGCTGAAGACAGCCTGGGCCCCCGAGGAGATGCTGCCCAGCAGTTCTGAATGTGCTAAGTCGTGGGCGGCAATGGGCACGATGTGCCCAGCAGAGCCACCTCCCACCTTGGCCATAAATAGCCCCTAGCGGGCTCACACAAAAGGCCTGCTCTGCTCTTCCATCTCGCCTGCCTGACCTCCTGGCAGCCACCCCCCGGGCTCCACCATCACAGCTGGTCACCACATCCTGCCCCGTGAGAAAGGATGTCTTCATGCCCAGGCCGAGGCCCCTCGGCACAGGTCCGCAGGGCCAGGAAGCAGCATGGTGGGAACCTCACCCTTGGTTGTGTCTTGGCTCCTCCTCACACCAGCTGAGTCACATACGTCATATGAATCAAGCCACTGCGACTCTAAGTCCCAGTGTCCTCACCGGAAGGATGGGGCTCTCGGCCCGGAAATGAGTCCGATCAGCTCTAGGGAGTTGATGGGTCTAACAGACATGCCCCTTCTCACCTCTCCGCCTCCGCCCAGAGTCCCGTTGCCCAGAACGGCGTCCTCCTTGCTCTCCTTGCTCAGCTAACTCTCACCCCGTCCGGCTCAGCCGTCCCCAGGAGCCCTTCTGGGTCCCTGAGCCTGAGGTTGGCCCCCCCAGTGGTCCCGTACCTTCCGCATGCTCCTGGCCCACAGCGGTCCTGTGGTATGTTAACGGGCTGTTGGCAGTCTAGGCCCCTCTTTATTATTATTATTTATTTATTATTATTATTTTTAAATCCTCACCCAAGGATATTTTTTTATTTATCTTCAGATAGAGTGGGAGGGAGGGAGGGAGAGAGAAAGGGAGAGAGAGAGAGAAATATCCACGTGAGAGGGACACATCGACTGGTTACCTCCTGCCCGACCCCAACCGGGGCCGGGGACAAACTGCAACTGAGGTCCGTGCCCTGGGCCCGAATCAGACCCGGGGCTCATTGGTCCGCAGGCCGACGCTGGACCGCGGCCAGGGCCAGGCCCCACTCTGATCAGCCTCCTGCGGCAAGAGCAGGGCTCAGGTCTGCCTCAGGCACCTTGGTGTCCGCGGGGCCCGGTGCAGCGCCTGCCACGTCGGAGCAGGCGGCGGGTCAGCGGGGACCTGACGCCTGGCCGGGCCTGCTGTCTCCACAGGCCACGGAGGGCTGAACCAGCTGGGAGGGGCCTTCGTGAACGGCAGACCCCTGCCCGAAGTGGTGCGCCAGCGCATCGTGGACCTGGCCCACCAGGGCGTGAGGCCCTGCGACATCTCCCGCCAGCTGCGCGTCAGCCATGGTTGTGTCAGCAAGATCCTTGGCAGGTAAGCACGAAATTCACCTCGCACAGCCTCCCGCTGGCCGGTCTCTGCACAGCCTCCTGCTGGCCGGTCTCTGCACAGCCTCCCGCTGGCCGGTCTCTGCACAGCCTCCCGCTGGCTGGTCTGCACCCGCAGCCTCACAGCCACCCCTCCCGGGACCTGCCTCTGGGCTCCCTCCGCGCTCTTCTGGGCTCCTGCCCTTCCCTCCCTCCTTCTTCACCCATTTCATCTTCCCTTGGCTTCTCCCTCCTCCTTTCTCCGCGCCTCGGGTCCTGTTTTCTCAAGGCTCCTCCGCCCCTAATGCAGGGCCCCCTGCCGAGACCTCGGAGAGGGAGCGCTGGGGCAGGGACATGCTCTCAGAGGTGGCTTCCAAGGTCACACCCCTGCGCAAGGGACATCTGAGTTTGTGCTTCTCAGGCCAGAGCGGCTGCAACAGCAGCACAGGGTCGCCTGATGGAATGCAGAGCCCCGGGCCTCCACCGCCTGGGGCAGCTGGGCCTGGATGCTGTGAGCTCTATGAGGTGACCAGGTGACCCTGCACGTTAAAGTCACCTAGGGAGCCTTAATTTTAAAAAACATTTGAGGTCTAGGCCCCAGCCCATGCCTGTTGAAGGAGAATTGTAGGGGAAGGCCCAGGTTCGGTATTATTCAGGCCCCTCAGGAGATTCTCCTGTTCAAAAGCCAGAGCTGAGAACCCCTGACCGAAGGCTCAGGAGGAGCCAGGAGCAGAGCCCTGCATCCAGGCTGAGGTCCCCACGCAACCCGACCCGGTCCGGAGAGCCGCTCCTGCCAGAAGGGCCCTGAGGCAGCCCGCTGGGGCTTTGGGTCAGCGCAGGGCACCTGCTTCCCTTCTCCAGCCTGCAGGTGGATGGAGGAGGAGCCTGCTTTAAAGAGGCAAAGGACCTGTTGCTAAGTGGTGGGAAGCTCTGGCCTCCTGACTGAAGTTATAAGGGAAGAGTGTGGCCCCTTGAGGGGTCAGGAGAGGGGACCTGGACATGGGATGGTGCCCCAGAAAGGAGATGGCCCCTGGATGGTGGCAACAGACGGAGTTTAAAGAGCATTTATTCTGTGGCAGAGGAGACCAGAGAGTATCCAGAACAAGGAGGGGGTGGTATCTTGACGTAGGTCACTGATCTGCCGAAGCAGCTGGTTGGGGATGAAGGGAGAGGAGGAGAGGAGACCCTGGGGCCTGGGCTCAGCTCAAGGGGCTGGACGAGGCCAGAGACCCGGGCAGGGCTGGGATTCCAGAGTCCGCGAGGAGCAGCTTCTACCTGAACCACATAGCCTGGTGGAAAACCAGTGCCCGCCGGGGGCGTGGGGGATGGGGAGCAAAGGTGAACCAGCAGACGGCAGAGGCCTCAGCCACCCCAGCTGGCCTCCTGGGGAGGGATTAAAGCCAGGAGGACCGAAGTGTGCAGTGAGTCCGCGTAGGCAGGAGACCGCGGCCGGGCGGAGGAAACCACCGCTGCCGGGAACCCGTGATTCCCAGGGCGCCTCCCTGAACATCCCTTTCCCAGGAGGGAATCTTCGAAGCCTCCAAGGTGGTTCCTGCAGGTGCTCAAGGAGGCGGAGGGACAGGAAGGGAGAAGCCAGGGGTCGGGTGAGGTCCTCAGCAGCGCAAACCTGCCCAAGCAGGAGAGCACTGGAAGGCCAGGTATTTGAGGCCAGCCCTGGGCACGTCCTGCCTGGGCCTCTCCAGAAGCCTCCAAGGGGACCAGGGTCTCTGGCCAAGGCCATGCCCAGAGACCCCCCTGCCTACTGGGTAATCTTTGGGTTGTCTATTGGAGTAGGTACTACGAGACTGGCAGCATCCGGCCTGGGGTGATAGGTGGTTCCAAGCCCAAGGTGGCTACCCCCAAGGTGGTGGAGAAGATCGGGGACTACAAGCGACAGAACCCCACCATGTTTGCCTGGGAGATCCGAGATCGGCTCCTGGCTGAGGGCGTCTGTGACAATGACACTGTGCCCAGTGTCAGCTCCATCAACAGGTGAGAGACCGCGCAGCCAGGGGCCCTGGGGGTTGTGAGAGACCCTCCCTGTTTACGGAGCAGAGCTGGGAAGGGGCCTCAGAGTCAGGCAGGAAGCCCGAGCACAGGGCCGGTATGACACCTCCTCGCCTACGTAGGGCCACAGGCATCCCCACCCCTACCTGGTGTACGTTCTGCAGTTCCCTTCCTTACACACCACGTTATTGTTCGTCCAATAAAAGAAGCTTCTTGAATTGATCCTTTCTTAAGCCACAAGGCCCTTAACTGGGCCCTCGTTCAGAGAGGCACTCTCGTTTGTTTAGCCTTTCACTCACTACCTTAATCATTTGCTCCCTCCCTCACTCATTCATTCATACACACGTAACTCATTGTCATGTGATAGGCCCTGGGGACACAACATCCTTGTCCCGGCAGAGCTCACAGTGTAGCGGGAAGACACACTATTCAAGCACACACTCAAACAATTGCAGAAGTCCAGCTGTAGCCCTGTCGAGAACACGAGGGTGTGTGAGCCAGTATGGTGTGACTCAGTTTGGGAAGGTTATGAAAAGATGACCCTGAGTAAGAAACAATGAATAAGAGTCAACTAGCTGAAAAGAGGAGTGAGAAGAGCTGTGAGACAGCACATGCAAAGGCCCTGTGGCTAACAGGATCGCATACAAGAAGCCCAAGGAAAGCCAGTAGACAGGAGGGGAGCAGGAAGCAGGCAGTGGTGGAGCTGTCGGTGAAGGCTGCCCTTTGGCCAGGAGAGGCCCTTGACAGTTTTAAGCAGCAGGCTGACTTGCATTTCAGAAAGCCCCGTCAGCCTGCAATAGGGAGAAGAGGCTAGGAAGGTCAGGAGTGGATGGGGTGGCCGTGAATGACCTGGAGGGAGAGAGTGGGTGGTGGTACACACTGAGCACCAGCAGTGATATGCAGAGGGGACCAAAGCTGGGGAGGCCACAGGTCAGACCATAGCACCAAGGATGGTTTGATAGCAGGGGGAGGGAGGGAGGCGGGGGTTAAGCCCCATCTGTATTTAGGCGTGACCGACAGTGCCACCCATGCCATGGGAACCCCGGAAGGACCAGGTGTGAGGAGTGAGGTCGAGGGTCTGAGGTAGACAGGTTGAGTGTGAGGTGTGTTTAGGACACCCAAGGGAGGTGTGAAAAGGCAACTGGATCTGGGGCAGCCGCTGGTCCTGTTTGCTCCTCTCCTCTCTATGGCCATTTCTTCTCTCCCTTCCAGAATCATCCGGACCAAAGTGCAGCAGCCGTTCAATCTGCCCATGGACAGCTGCGTGGCCACCAAGTCCCTGAGCCCAGGACACACTCTGAGTGAGTGTCAGGGACCTGCACACACACTCCCCTGCGCACCCACGGGTCACACACACCCACACTGCCGCCCTCTGTGGGGACCAAGCCCTTCCATGGGGACAGCCTTGCTGGGCTCTTGGGGACCAGTCACTGAGAAATTCAGGTAGCCCCTCATGGGGCCTTGGTCCCAGAGCCCTCCCACCAGCCTCCGACTCCTCCGTGGTGGAGGGGGGCTCTCGGGGTGTCCCTCCCACATCCTCACCCTGTCCCTCTCGTGCTCTGTAGTCCCCAGCTCGGCCGTGACGCCCCCGGAGTCACCTCAGTCCGACTCCCTGGGCTCCACCTACTCCATCAACGGGCTGCTGGGCATCGCCCCGCCTGGCAGCGACAGCAAGAGGAAGATGGATGACAGTGAGTGCGGGGGCACGGAGGGCAGGGTGGGGTGCAGGGGCAGTGTGCTCAGGTTGTGTGGCCTTCGGCCAGGGGCTTTGTAGTAGCAGTAGCTACCGGCCTGCAGCACGTGGCCTGTCTCTGAGCCAGCCTCAGCCCTGCGGCCCGGGACCTGGGTTCTTTCCCTCGCTCTGCAGCTCAGTCTGCTCCTCCACTCCGGCCTGGGGTGAGTAGAGGGGTCCCCTGAAAGTTTTCTCCCTGCCGGGGACGCCAGGTGACCAGGACAGCTGCCGGCTGAGCATCGACTCCCAGAGCAGCAGCGGGGCCCGCAAGCACCTCCGCACGGACGCCTTCAGCCAGCACCACCTCGAGCCCCTCGAGTGCCCCTTCGAGCGGCAGCACTACCCCGAGGCCTACGCCTCCCCCAGCCACACCAAAGGCGAGCAGGTGAGGCGCGGGATGGGCAGGTGAGCTGCGGAGGGCTGCGGCCAAGAGGCCGCCATCTCTGAAGGCCCGTGACCTGCCCTCGGTCCTGCCACAGAGCAGCCAGAACCTGCCCGATGGCTCAGGGCGCGAGCTTCGTGCGGCTCCAAGCCAGAGACAGCCGCTGCTTTGCCAGATGCTGGCACCTGCTCCTCCTCCTCCCAGCCCTCTTGCCTTCCCTCCTCCATGCTGAGCCCTGCTCTTTCACGGGGAACCACAGAGCCAAGCTGTGCCACCCCCTGCGCTCAGTGCAGACCGCAGGGTCAGGTCCCACAGCCCTCGAGCTGCAGCCCAAGCCTTCGCCCTGTGACCTCAGCTGGCACTTCCAGTCCCACCTCTGGCCACTCACTCTGGCAACCCCATGACCCCACATTGCTCCCGCTCCCAAGCACGCGCTCCGGTTCACACCTCTCTGCTCCGGCACACCGTGTGCCTCCCTGCAGAGTGCCCTTCCTCCCGCGTCTCTGCCTGGAAAAATACCGCCCGGCAGGGCCGTTATGACTCAGCTCAAATGTCACTTTGCCCAGGAATCCTCGCCCTCCTCCCAGGTGTGTGTCCCCTCTCCCTCCTGTGCTTGGCACGTCCGCCGGCCACTCCTGTTCACACCTCGCGGGCTGGCCCGCGACAGAGGTGTGCCGGCGCTGTCTCTGCCACCGAGCCTTGTGCCCTGTTATACTAGATGCTCAGAGAAGGGGGGCTGGGTGAGCAAGTTGAGAAATCCAGGAAGCTGGTTGCAAGCCCCGAGGGCATGTCCATCTCCAGCGCTCGGACGGTGACATTGGGAGCGGGCTGGCTCCGGTGAGGGTGGCAGACACAGCGGACGTCTCCCCTGGGCCCAGCAAAGTTCCACCGCTCTGAGCGTTCCACCAGCTGCCTCTGGCCATTTCTGTCCATCCGCGGTCACATCTTCCCCCACCCCCTCCAGCCCAGCCAGTCGGCCGGCTGAGGAGTTCAGGGTGATGTCTGCTCCCCCTCTTTGCTCACACTGTCATTGTCCAGGAGCAAGGCAAACCCTATACCTTTAATATCTGAGTAGGACGGTGGTGAGGACGCCACCAATCAGCTGAACCCCTGCCAGTGGCCGTCTGGGCAGCTGGGCCCAGGCCAGCCCCGCAGCTGGGCAGGCGATCTGCGTCAGCGATTCTGTCAGCTGGGCCGTGGCAGCCACGAGGGGTGCGGAGAAAGCTGGCTGTCAGCAGACCGGGGACAGGGCTGGGTGCTCACTGAGCGTCAGCACGCGCTCAGAGGGAGCGGGGTGCAGCCGCGGGAGCTCGCCCCGTGGAAGGAACATGCGCAGCCCAGCGTGCAAGCTCCAGCGTCCTGGCGGAGTGGAGGAACCCTTTCCCCGGCCCCTTCCCGAGCCCCCAGGGGACCCTGCTCGATCGCAAGGGGACCGCGCCGCTGCACCACGCTGGCTCGTACACCTGCACAGGGAGCCGTGTGAGCCTGAGCTCGGGCGAGCTTGGGACCACAGGGTCCAGTGCCTTCATTTGTGTGGACGCGAGCCAGGGACAGGGAGGGTCGAGGGCCTGGGGAGCAAGCGACTGTGGAGCTCAGGCCTGAGGCCCTGGTGTCACTCAGACGCGCCCACTGTGTTGGAGGCGGTGCCTTTAGATGAGCTCTTATTTGAAGACTGGAAAAGGGAGTTTGAAAGCCATGGAACTGCTCCAACCCCTCAGCCCCGGATGAGGAGACCGAGGCCCAACACGCTGATCAGTGACCCTCCCGCCCCCGTCAGTCGTCTGTTGGTCATTCATTCGCCAGGCTTCTGGTGGGGCAGGGAGAGCCCAGCCTGGGAGGTGCCTTTCCCACGCTTGGTGACAGATGGTGCTGCCGCAGGAACACCCGTGGCCTCTCACGTGGCACAGCAAGGCCCGCTGGGCTGGGCAGCCGACAGACGCACAGTCCTCAGGCGGTGGGGCAGAGACATGCTGCCTTTCCTGCAGAGTCGGAGGGGAGGGTGTCCGACAGAAGCGCCAGGCTCAGGACCAGGCTTAGTTAGGAGTCTCTGCTGCTTGTGCCCCCTTGTTCGTCAGGTGCAGAAGTGAGTGGTAGGATGACACAGACTGGGAACTTGGCCGCTCACGGAGCACGTGCTGTTCCCAGCGCCCGGTGCTGAGCCCTCCCCGTGGGTCCATAACACCTCGGTCCTCACATCAGCCTCTGCGGCGGACCCCGCTGCCCCTGTGACACAGGTGACAAAAACCAGGGCTCAGCGAGGTCAGGACAGAGCGCCGCTCGGCTGGTGGTGCACAACCAGGGCTCACCTGGTTCTAGGCATCCTGCCGCTCTGCCCCCGGCTCAGCTCAGTCCCCTAAGACACCCCTCATCACCGGGGCGTGCACGCCACTCCGCGTGACGACATCGACATATCTGGCTGTCGGTGATGTGTGTGACCCTCATGTGGGGAACAGGCGTGTGCGGCCTCGTCCTCTGGTGGGAGGGCTCCCAGGGAGGGGCGGTGTGTGCCCCCTGGACTGAACGACTTCTTTCTGGAGGGAGCACCTTAGGAGATGGCCCTGCTTATGCCAGTGGAGGCTGAGGAGAATCTAACATGAGGGCATTAGAACACCCCAGGGCTAACCCGAGCATCATCCTCGAGCTGAACCGGAACATCTCTTTGTGTCTGGCTCTGGAGAGAGGGAGAGGAAAGGCCCCTGTGCTGGAGGGGCGCCGTGGCTGCCGAGTTACTGCCGCAGAGAGCACCTGGGTCAGGGCCGATGTCCTCGGCGTGGTTTCTGTTTCATAAAGACCTCCGGGCTGTCCACGTAATACTACTTGCCCGCGTCACAGGGCTGCCAGGGGAACGGATGGGGACAACGGAGGCAAAGCCCTTTGCAGATGTAAGAAGTGGTGCTGATGTTACCCAAGTTAGGGCAGCGGCTGGGAGCCAGACCCCTTTGGCTTCCTCTTGGCTCCGCCCCGTGTGGGAGAGTGACAGGCTTCTCGACCTGTCTGTGCCATAGTTACCTGCCTGGACAGGAATATGTGACCTGAGTGAAGCGCTCTGCACAGTGCCGTGGGCCAAAGGCTCTGCCTGCAGCTTGTCTTTGGGGCTTCACATCGCGTGAGCAGGCAAGGAAGGGACCCGCCACCCAGCCAGGGTGAGGTCCTTGGCAGGGGATGCTCCCTCCTGTGCCTGCTCACAGGCCACCAGCCATGAGCCTGGGATTAAAAGAACATTGGGGTCGTGAGTTGGAGAATAAGAACCAATCAAACACGCCAAGTGGAGGCAAGAATGGGCAGGAGAAGGGGACAATGAGGGTGTTTTCTGAGAGATGGCTGCAGGTAAGGCTTGCCCAGGGCCTCTGTGCTGACTTCTCTTTGTTCCCCAGGGCCTCTACCCGCTGCCCCTGCTCAACAGCACCCTGGATGATGGGAAGGCCACCCTGACCCCTTCCAACACACCGTTGGGGCGCAACCTCTCGACTCACCAGACCTACCCTGTGGTGACAGGTAGGAAGCCCAGAATCTCCTGGCCATGAGCCCCAGCTGCCAGGTTGGGCTGGAGGGCAGGCAAAAGCTGGCGTGAGGAGGAAGGTGTTAGGGCCCTAGACCTGGAGAGGAGAGGGTCTGTGCTGGCTGGGCCTCCTGGTGGGCCACGGGGGTCTTACCCTCTCCGCTCAGCCCCTCCTCTGCCGGCGACCCCACTGCCAGACAGATGGGCGCTGCAGCCCTCTGTGCCTGGCAGAGGCTCCGCAGAGTCGAGCGCTCCCACCTCCTCAGCCCGAGGAGCCCAGCCCAGCCGCCCGAGCCCGCCCCCCTCATGGCTTGGTTGTGCATGCGCCAGCGTCATCTCACCCTCTCTCCTTGTCTCCCTCCCTGGCAGACTCACCCTTCGCCATAAAGCAGGAAAGCCCCGAGGTGTCCAGTTCTAGCTCCACCCCTTCCTCTTTATCTAGCTCCGCCTTTTTGGACCTGCAGCAAGTCGGCCCTGGGGTCCCAGCGGGAGCCTCGGCCCCGCCCTTCACTGCCTTTCCCCAGGCTGCCTCCGTGTACGGGCAGCTCGCGGGCCAGGCCCTCCTCTCAGGTACGACGAGGCCCGGCCTGCAGCCTCATGGGGCGGGAGGGTCCGCAGGGCCAGTCCCTGGTCCCAGGGGTCTGGTCCCGTCTGGCCCGCAGTCTTGTCCACCATCAGCCTCTTACAGAACTGTTGTAGGTGCCAGTTTGTGGGTCTCCATGCAGCAGTCAGGCCCTGGGGTCTGGCACTCAGGGGGTGCCTGGAAGTGGGGTCGTGGCAGATTTCCAGAACCTCACCCTGAGGCCCTGTGAAGACCAGGGCCCCTGAGGCCAGGACCCAGGTGCTGTGAAGGGGTGAACACTATGTCTGGGTGAAAAAAAAAAGACGGAAAAAATTGACAAGACTTTGGAGGAAAAAGTCGTTGGATTTTGGAGCCAATTTCTGGATCAAATTCCTAAAGAAGATGGAGGGCCAGTCTCAGCCGGGTCCACAGTGTAGCTCCTGTCCCGCACGCTTCGCAGCGTCACCCTTGGAGGACACTCAGCAGTGACTCAGCACCTGAGCGTCCTCTCCTCGGCGCATTCCAAGCACGAAGCACCTACAGGTGCCCAGAGGGGGGAGGAGGGCCTGGCTGGGCCCTGAGCAGGAATGTGGTGTGACAGGGTGTGACAGGGTGTGACAGGTGAGGGCTCTGCTCTCCTGCCCCAGGCGGCCGACCCCCGCAGGGCTGGGTCTCCCTGGCAGAAGGCCACCTGCTGTCCAGCCATCCAGCCAGGGCCCGGGCAGCGGCTGGCAGAGGGAGGTGTCTGCTCGGGCAGAGCAGGCCTGATTGGGGTGAAGGGGGCAGAGCCCCAGAGCAGTCGTCAGCTCTCTGGAGGCCTCCACAGTGATGAGGCTGTTTTAGGGGGAGGCCCCGGCATTGAACCAGCACCGAGGGGGAGACAGGAGCAGGACAGCCCTTCTGACCAGTGGTTCTCAAACGTGCTGGGGGCCTCAAAACTCTCTCGTGAAACGACAGCTTTTACAAAGTCAGGTCCCAAGCCAGAGGCTGAAGCGTGGCTCTGCTTGGCGTCCTCGGACTTGGACCCCACTGCTCTAGAAGAGGGGGACAGGCCTCCACCCCTGAGGGCCCCCGCTCACCCCGCTCTCTTCTGGCGACCTCCGCTTCTGTCTGTTGGGCGCCGGGGGTGTTCTCTCTTTGCGCCCCTCCTCGGACGTGGGGGTCCTCTTAGAAGAGGGGGCCCAGAGGTAAAGGGTTACCAAAGGAACCCGGCGTGTGGGAAGCAAGGGAGAAAGTGTTGACTCAGAGCTCAGAATTTCAAGAGGGTGAAGTCAGCAGAGATGGGCCACTTGTTTTGACCAAAGTGGTGAAAGGAGAACAATCGTGAGCTGGGTGGAGTGTCAGCCGGAGGAGGGGAGGAGGGGAGGAGGAGAGGAGGAGAGGGGAGCAGAGAGGCTCCCGCACAGTGGACTGGCCGCCCTGGGCGGGCCTGTCTGCCCGCCTGAGTGGCAGGGAGGGATGAGGGCGCGGACAAGGCCTGTGAGGATGGGAAGCAGCAGCCGCGGAGGGAGGACAGCTGTCCCGGGGCACAGCGAGTGTCGGTACAAAGCGTAGCTGGAACAGCCAGCGCAAGCTCTGCGCCCCAAGCCACCCCCTTCTCGCCTCCCCGCGCCCTGTCAGGGCCTCAAGCACCCCTGCCCACATGCAGGCCATGAGGGGACGTTCCCGCCCCCGAGGGCTCGAGCTCAGCGACATGCCCGCTCTGCAGACCAGCTGGGCATGCACATGGGCAGAGCCCTGGAGGCAGCTGCCCGGGGTCATTCAGGAAGCCAGTGCACAGCCTTGATGTGTCCTTCAGGCTGGCGGCCCCCACCTGGCCCAGGTGATGCTGAGGTGCAGGGTGTGACCCCCGGGAAGGCCGATGGCCGGCGAAGGGCCCGGCCAGCTCAGGCCAGGGCTCTGGGAAGGCTCGAGGCGCCGCGGCCGGGCAGGCGGTCAGCTGGCAGAGCCGGGCCTGCCCTGCGGCCTGGGCCAAGGCCTGTGATGGCTGCTGTCCACGCCGAACCCGGGGTGTCGGCCTGGAGCTCCTTCAAGAGTGTCCACATGTGGCCCCTGGTCAAGATCGGACCTAAACACCCACCGTGTGACTGAGCACAGTGAGCGGAGGAGGAGACCGTCCGGGGAGGAAGAAGGGAGGAGGTTAACAGGAGAGGGTCTCAAGGTGGAGGGACGAGAAACATAGGCAAGGGAGGTAGAGATGAATTTGAAAGAAAGGAAAGAAAGCCAGGACCAGGGGGAGAGGAGGGAGGTGGCGAGTGTTCATTCTGCGGTCAGCTAGCTCAGCGCCCACCCTCAGGACCCTCCTCTGAGCTCCCTGAGGACCCGCCTGCTGCCTCCTGCAGCTTCGCCTGCTTCCCAGCCTCCCCAGCTCCCTCCTGCCCAGCCGAGGCTCCGACTGTCCTGGCTCTCCGATTCTCCCTGGAGCAGCAGGAGGGAAGCAGCGTCAGGGTTTGGGAAATGTCAGACTGTCCCACATTCCCCAGTTCCCTTCACATGCCCCTTCCGGGGTCCCAGCAGCTCCCCAGGAACAATCTGGAGGTGCCTGGTCCTGCTGCTCAGGGCTCACTCCAGCTCAGCTGGTCAGAAGGCTCTAAATTTGGTTTTATCATCAAAGAGCCCATTCCCCGCCTCCATCCTTTGGTGCAAAATTATATTTAGTCCTGCCAGAGAGATTTCTGGATCGCCATAAATTCTCCTTGCTAACAGAACAAGATAAGGAACTGCACAGGGTCATGTAGAGAGCAGACTTCAAAGGGGGCAAATAAATAGTCTGAAACCACCTCTGCCCTCGGAATTCCTCCACACCGTGGTTCTGATCCTGCTTTCTACCAATATTTATAATATTTACCATTGTATCTGGGGTGCTAGTGTTTTCTCATAGAGCCCCACTTCGAAGCAACTCAGTGGATCTGTGTCTATGCCAGTGTCTTATACGTAAGACCTCATGGGAAATAGGTTTGTGTGCAGAAGACATGAAATTACAAACCAAAGATGCACGTATGGTGAAGAGCCTTCAAAAATAAATACGTGGATGCAAGGGCGTGGTTGGGCTGTGATGGAGGGCCCCCACCTCGTGGCTTCCGTGGCTGCATTTCCAAGAAGGTTACAAGGTTCTTGGCTTTTGGGAAGAAACCATGTGTTTAAGGAATTGAAAAAAAAGAGTTTTGTGGGACTGATAGAAAAGTTTACGGAACCACAGTCTGGGAGAGGACCACCCCGAAGAGAGTCTCATCGGCCTGTTCAGGAGGCCAAGGTCGCGGGAGGAGGCCATCAGGATCAGCTCCAGCGTGTGAGTCAGAAATCTCTGCCCTGCTGGGAGGAAATTAGGCGACTAAGGAGAGACAAAGATTAAAATCGGAATATAGGGGAATGAGACTGATGAGTTCCATTTCCAGAAGCAAATCGGGGGTTCGTCCTCATGGGGTGGGACCCAGGGAGCAACGGTGAGGGTTGGAGTCGGGCGTGCAGGGCGTCTGTGCGCTGGCGCTCTGCCCACTGAGTGCCCGGGCAGCCTCAGGAGACGGAGGGGACAGGACGCGGGCAGGAGGAGGGAGCAGCGCGGAGAGCACCTAGGCCAGCCCTGCAGACAGGTGGCCCGCGAGCCAAGACTAAAGACACAGACACGACCTCAGAACCCTTCTCCACACGGTGCAGGAAGCCCCCGGCCAACCAAGAAGTAAGGTGAACCCACTTCCCATCGCTCCTGCGGCCAAACCCCTCAGGAGACCGGCGGGAAGAACAGCGCAGAGACGTTAAGGACAGAGTGTGTTCCCCGGCCACTACCTGGCCGGGACCCAGGTCCCCCCGCCTCCCCCAGGAGGACGCACGGGAGAAGGAGAGGGAGGCCTCGGGTCTGAATCGCCACCACGTCTCCCGTCACTCTGCTCAGGCCGCCTGCTCGCCCTCTGACCCCTCCTGCCCTTCAGCCGCCCCGTCCCCCTCTCGTGGGCTCCTGGCCAGGGCTTGGTCCCCGGGCTGAGGGCTGAGCCTGAGAACTGACCACACTGCAGTCTCCTCCGACGAGAGATGAGTGTGCTTCAGTGTATCTTCCGCCTCCTTCTAAACACACTAAAATTCCCTTTTCCTCCCCTACGTTCCCCACCCCCACTTGTTCGGGCCCCGAGTCCAGCGCCCTGAACCATCTGTCGAACTCCAGCGGGTTCCACTGTGTGTGCAGCTGGGCATGGTCCTGCAGGTCAAACAGCTCGGGGTTGGTGTTTGCTGTCACCAAGACATCCACACAGTTTCACCAGTGACTCAGTTCAAGTGGGTTTATTCTGTAAAGTTTCCTCGGACGGGTCACAATGTGTAGAACGTGTTCACGGCACTGATCACTGTTCACCTGCTGCGGGAGGCCCTGGCTCGCACTGATCAGGTCACAGCTGTGGTGCTGAGACAGAAGCGATGAGACGCTCAAAGCCCCCCTTTTGTTCCCTATTTTGCCTGTGAAGGACTGAGGCTCGGGGCACCCAGGCGACTGGTCTGAGGGCACTCGGCACGCGAGCCGCAGAAGCAGGATGAGGACGCAGGTCCTCGGCTGCCTCGACCCTTCCCTGCAGAGGAAGGGCAGGCGTCCAGTGGGCCTGGTAGTCTCATTGACCCTTTAGGCTTGGCTCCCAGCGCCCATCCTAGTCTGCGCCCCATCTGGGTCTTGCTAATTTGGCATTCTTACTTCCTGGTGTGTCCCCAAGTGGTCAGAGAAGGGCCTCGAATTCATACTCGCTCCTAAGCATTTGTTGAATGAACAACTTCCAGAAAGAGAGGTAAGGAGGGTTTAGTCACTGCGGTTTTGACAATGTATAGAGTTCCAGGCATGTACCTCCCTTTCCATCATTATGGGCACCCTGGGCAGGGCTGAGGTCTGAAGGCCCCGAGGGGCTGACGGGGCAGGTCGCACAGGCAGCGCCTTAGGGGATGGACTTAGGAAGCTGGTTGACAGGGACTCTGGGCCCATGTAAGTCCCAGGAGAAAAGTGGCTCCAGTGTGGAAGAGGCGGAAGGCGTTGTGTGGAAAGGTCACAGCCTAACACTGGTCCCCAGCCAGGGGCGCCTGCAACCAGGGCGCATGGCAGTACTTGGAGACGCTTCTGGTTGTCGCGCTGGGTGGGGACTACACTGGCTTCCAGGGGGCAGAGGCCAGGAACGGTCCTGAATATCCTGCAATGCAGAGGACGGCCCCACACGAAGATTAATCGAACCCCAAATGTCTGAGGTTGAGAACCCCTGAAACATCACCAAGGGCTCGGATGACCAAATAATTCATCCTTCAAACTGGGGCATTTGGAGAGTGAAATGGGCATGAGTAATAAATACGCCGGGACAGTGGTCATAACCTGGGCAGACCTTGCCAAGGATCCTTGATGAGGGCGTCGGCCCTGGGCCTGCAGGGCACAAGGAGGGGCAGTGGGCAGAGGGGCCTGGTGTGTGTTGGCATGAGGTGCAGATGGAGAGAAACTCACGGGGTCAGATGAGGTCTCCAAAATGGTATGGCTCGACTTCCCAGTGTAGGAGCCAGGTGGACCAGGGCAACTGGGGTCTCGGGGAGCTGCCTCAGCGTCGCCAGGGCAGGGACCTTGCCCACAGATATAGACTAACAAGGAGATGGTGCTGGTTTTCTGAAAACCGTTTTTCAGGTGCGGGACTCACGGTCACGAGTAAATGCTAAGCCCTCAGCCCGAGTCTCCTTTCCAGCTTGGGCAGAGCCAGGAGGTTTCCTGTCCCCTGTAACTCTGCCCAGTTGTACCCATCTATCAGGCAGGAGGAGGAGGAGGACCCCCTCCCGTCTCTCAGTGGTAAAAGAGCAGTGGCTGATTAGCAATGTCCGCGCGGGTCCCAAATGCACAGTAGTGGACCAGCAGACGACACCTGTGCCACCCCACACAGGGCCTTGTTCCTGGTTCTGCTCAGAGCCGAAAGGGTGTGGACCCTGGGTCCCGCGACCTCTAACAGATGTATTTAGGGCGGCTGTGCCCACTGCTATGCTGGATGCTGTGGGGGTAATGAGGACCCCGAAGACATAGCCCCCAGCCTCCTGCCAGTACCATGACAGCTTATGGATAAACAAGAGTCACGTGAACAACATCACCGAGCACGGGGAAGAGTCGGGACCGCCACGGCAGCGGAGCGCCCATCCCTGCGGAGCCTGTGGGCTGCAGAGGAGAGGCAGGGAGAGGGGGCGTGGCAGGGGGGAGGCCAGCTGATCCTCCCGGAAGCAAGACAATAAATACAGGGGCCTCCTCTGGCCCAACTGATGACTCCTTGCTGTGTTTTCCAGGGCGAGAGATGGTGGGGCCTACGCTGCCCGGATACCCACCCCACATCCCCACCAGTGGACAGGGCAGCTATGCTTCTTCTGCCATCGCAGGCATGGTGGCAGGTAAGGGGACGGGCTGCACAGGGGGCGGCATTGCCAAGAGGAATTGTTGGCCAAAGGCGGAGCAAGGGGAAGGGTATGTCCCAGGCATAGACTTCCCGGAGGGCGCTGGAGGATGGACCAAAGGGTGCATCTCTTTGAATGTCTGGAGGAGACCCTGCAGTGCAGTCCTGGCTCCTTAACTCTCCCAGATCAGCTTCCTTCTTCCCAGATGCTCCCACATCACCCGTCGTGGTGAAGAGGCATCCACGGTGAGGCAGACCGGTGTTCAGGTCTGAGCTCTGCCCCGGCTCCCGTCCATTCAGGGAGCCCTGGCGGGGCTGCAAAACGCCGGCCGCTAACCGGAAGCCCAGACTCTAAGTAAACCATGGTCTCCCGGTCATTTAACTGGGAAATTTCAATTTACCTTTTGTAACATCTGAACATGAATGGTGTAGGTGATGATGATGATGATGATGATGATGACGGTTGAAATACAGCCCCCTGCACACCCCACACTCACTCAACCCTGCATGGGCAGGACCCGCGTTCTAGATACTCCAAAGGGGCTGCCGAGTGTGAGATGGGCTGGGGGCAGTTCTCCACCGTCATTGGACTGCCCTGGGATTCTGCCTGCCAGTCATTTGGGTTTCTGTGTCTACCAGAGTGGTCATCACCCAGTGGTGACCCAGGTGTCAGGGTCTGGATAAGTGAGGAGGACAAGGAGAGTCTCGGGAAGTGCCTCTCGTAGGAGCCATGTGTGAAGGATGGGAAGGGTAAAATCGAACCCTTCCCACTCCCAGAGGCCTGAGGACCTGGAGCTTGGAAGGGGCTGGATCAGGTGCTCTGACCCCCGTGCCAGCCCCGGACTAGGTGCCTCCACCCAGGCCTGCTTTCCTCCCCACGGGCCCTGCCACCCACTCTCGTGCCCTGTGTGAGGCAGGGGCTGGGCTCTCCTGGGCAGAGGGAAGGGAGGGGAGGGGGGGCTCCCTGCTCCCTGGGAACCCGCTGAGCTGGCACTTGTTGCTGCCTGGTTACCGTGGCGATGTGCTTAATGCAGCGTTGAAAATACAGAATACTCACTCCCCTCTCCCTCCTGGCCCCAGCTCGCTCCCTCCCTCCCTTCCTCTTCTGGAGCGTGAAATGAGATTGGTCAAGATAAAAAAGGAAAAGATTCGGTTATTTTTTTAAGAGTGTGGATAATGGGGCCTCTCAATCAAAATCCCAGGCTCCAGTCGGCTCCCCCATCCCCCTTCCAACCTCTGCACCTCCCTGCCCCCTGCTTGGAGGGGAGGGAGAAACAGAAAGCCAGGGCTTCTCTTGGAATTATGAATCATCCCGGGGCGTGCCCCGGGCAGGGGCTCCTGGGGCCCAGAGTCTGACCTGGGAGGGAGCTGGAAGGTTTGGTCCTCTCATCAAAGGCCCCCAGGTTGTTTCCAGAAAGACCTCATCCTGCGTGGGTGTTGTGGACAAAAAAAAATAGCACAACCACAGCATCCACTGAAGTGGGTTGCAGAAGGCAGGGGCCTTGCGTTGCGCGGGACTGGCTCCCAGAAGTTACAAATCCAGTTTTCAGAAAATGCAGTGCTCAGTAATCATTCCACCTGCTCCCTGGGAACTCCACGGTGCGGGTGCATTCTTAAGGATTTTTTTTTAAGAAAAAGTATTTTTTCTTTTCTTATCAGTGGCCACAATCTCCCCATGACAATGAGGATTTGTGCCCTTTAAATCGATAAACCTTTATTAAGCACCTACTATGTCCTGCATAAATAACAAATGCTTCAAGTAAGGCACGTTAATGACAGTCTTCAATCAGCTGTGGAAAAAAGGAAAAGATAATTTATTCTGCACTCCGTGTGCCTGGCCACTCATAGCTATAACTTATTTCTCATTTATTCTTACCATGAGCCCGGGAAGCTGGTATTATCCTATTGTATGAAGATACGAAAACACACGTAGAAAAGCAAAGTGTGTGCTCAGGGTTATAACCATACTAAGTGGCTGAGTTGTTCAAAAGCAGGTATTTTGATTTCAAACCCAGGGCTTGGTCAAGCCCTCCGCACTGCCTCCTGCCAGGCCAGGGACAATGACACCAGCCACGGGAGCAGCACAGGGCAAGACAGGGCGCAGGTTTCTCTTGTGTTGCTTCCTAACTGTGGTTGTTGTCCCTGCTCCATTAACACAGTTAATGATGCTCACACCTGTTCTGGAGCTGAACCAGCAGCTCCAGAGATAGTTTGATCCATCCATCCATCTATCTTTCCTTCCATTCATCTTTACACACACTTTCCCATTCAGACATGCATCTTCTTAGTCTTTCTTTCATTCTCCTATGTATTCTTCCATCCATCCATTCTTCCTTCCATCCTTCCATCCATCCTTCCTTCCATCCATTCCTCCTTCCATCCATCAATTCATCCATCCATGCTTTCATCCTTCCATCCATCCATCCTTCCATCCATTCCTCCTTCCATCCACCCATCTATTCATCCATCTGTGCTTTCATTCTTCCATCCATCCATCCTTCCATCCATCCATCTATTCATCCATCCATGCTTTCTTTCTTCTATCCATTCTTCCATTTCTCCATCCATCCATTCATCCACGACTTTTTCACTTAACAAATATTGGTTGAGGTTCTATGGCACAGGATGCTGGGGTTATAACAGGGAACAAGATAGGCCCCTCTTTTTAAGGAGTTTACAACCTAATAATAGAGGAAAAGGACAGTAAACAAGTCAACGAATGAACAGACAAGATGATTTTAGATAGCTGTGAGTGCTGTAAGAAGGCGATGGGACGATGTGATACAGGGCCAGGGAAGGATATGCCACTTTAGATCGGGTGATCAGGGAAGCGTCTCTGAGAAGGTGTTCAAAGTGGTCAGCCCAGTAACAAACTGAGGCAGACCATCCCCCACCCAAAGAACAGACAGCGAGTGCAAAGGCCCTGTGCCAGGAATTCGTTTACTGGGTTGCAAGCGGGAAGAGGGTGTGAGTGAGCAGGGAAAGGACTGTGCCATGAGATGGGCAGTGGATTGGGTCAAATTGTAAGAGTGCTCAGGCTGCCGGGAAAACTGGTTTAGGCAGGTCCACGAGGCAGGGCAGAGACCAGTTGGGGGAGCATTGGAGTAGTTCACACAGTGGCCTTGGGCTGGGGAGGCAGCAGTGAAGGAGGGCAGGAGAGACACCGAGGAGAACACTAAGAAACGATCGACTCCACTTGCTGGTGGCAGAGCCAGCAACCCTTGCTGCTGAATTGGTCGTGGCGGTTCTCACACCAATAACACAAGGGAGAACCCTAGGTTTGGGGCTTGGGAAGCTGCATGGATGGTGGGGCATGGGCCCATGGGGAGAAGAGGAGAGGAAAAGGTAGAGGTTGTGGCGGGTAGAAATCAGGAGTTCTGTTGGGCCTGATTGGGGTGGAGACATCGCCTAGGTACCCGTCTGAGTAAGTCAGTAGGCATGATGACGTATGTCTGGAGTCAGCAGACCATCCTGACGAGGGCGTACATTTCCACCGTGGTTCAGAACTGGTATTTAATGCCAAGATCACGGGAAAGAGACGGGGCTGGCAATTCACAAAGGCTCACTCATCACGCCCTGGCGCTCTTCGACGTTAGAGTTCTCGCAGGGGGGACCAGGAGAGGGAGGTGGAGAGGCCAGTGGTCGGGACACCCACAGAGGGGGGTTGGTGGGCGAGTCCAGGTCGGCAGAGTTTAAGGAGTGGTGGACACAGAAGGGACCGCTGGGACGACCGGGTAGAGGCAGTGAGGCTGTGCGAGTTCACTGATTGGAGGGGAGTGAGGAAGTGAAGGCAGAGCCTATGCAGCAGAGAGAGGGGCTGGGAGCTGGAGAGAGATGGGGTCGGAAGAGGATTTTTAAGAGATGATAACAGAGCATGTTTGTGGGCTGAAGGGAGTGGTGAATTAGGAGGGAGCATCTATGGAGCAGAAAGGGGAAGGGACCCATTACAGGGCCAAGTCCTTGCAAGGGGGAGGGGCTGGGATGCAGAGCAGAGAGGACGGCTGGCCTTTCGCCGGCGCAGGGACACAGACAGCCCTGGGCTGGGCGGACGCTGCACCACCTTCTGAGTCCTGTCCCTACTGCAGCCTCCCCAGAACTGAGGCAGAGAGGTGCTGCGCAGACTCGAGTTCATTAAGTGGAGACCGAGGGAGTGAGTGGATGCATGAGCGAGCGACCAAAGGAGAGGGCAGCATCGCTTTCCCACCTCTCTTCCTGGTCCCCGGAGCCCGCTGTTGGCACTGGGCGGGGCGGGCGAGCATGGGGCTCTGGCTCTGTGGCCAGCACTGAACTGGCTTCCTCTGGGCGCACAGTGAACCAGGGGGACGGGCTGCGCCTGCAGTCAGCAGGGCCATTCACACTGTAGGCTGCCAGGCAGAGCTGGGGCAGGAGCTGGGGCTGGTTCCAATGTCAGCTCATCGCACCTGTGGCTGTGGGCTCATGTCTTTTCCTCTCTGGACAGCAGGTTTTCCATTTGGGACATGACAGTTGGATTAGATCATTTCTTAGCTCCCCCCTCCCTCCCTCCCTCCTTCCTTCCTTCCTTCCTTCCTTCCTTCCTTCCTTCCTTCCTTCCTTCCTTCCTTCCTTCCTATCTTTCTTGCTTTTTTCCTCCCTCCCTCTCCCCATGGACCCCTCTTGGAGCAGCCCCTCCACAGAAGGTCTGGGCAGTAGTAGAATTGGTTAGAAGCGGCTCCCCAGCTCCGCTAAACCCTGGCTGGGTGAACAAATCTCTAGGCCCTAGTTCTTCATCTGGAAATGGGCATAATAGGAACACCCGGCTACTGCAGTTCCCGTGAGGGACAGCTGGTCAGGGCAGGGCCTCCAGACCTGGGGGAAAAGACAGCGCTTGAAATGGCGCTGACTGAGGGGCCCCAAGGGAGGGGCCTCCTGCGCTCCCACAGTCCTGCCCTGGCCCCAGCTGTGCCCGCCCCGGAAGTGCTGCACCTCACCTCTCACCTGTGTGCCCCAACAGGAAGCGAGTACTCCGGCAATGCCTACGGCCACACCCCCTACTCCTCCTACAGCGAAGCCTGGCGCTTCCCCAACTCCAGCTTGCTGAGTGAGTCCCTCTGGGCTGCCCAGGCCTTCGCGGGCAGGGCGGGCGCGGGCAGGGCTGGGCCAAAGAGGGCTCAGACCTGGGTCAGATGCGGCGGGGAGACGGGCGTTACTCATAATTCGAGCAGGAAGGCGGTGTGCCAGGCTGTGACCAGGTTGTGTGGGGAAGAGGGCAGAAGGCAGACCTCGCTGCACCAGTCTCTTCTGCTGCCCAGGGCCACCCCGTGAGCTCTGCCTTTGGAGTAGGACCCAGCGCCAGGCTTGGGAAGGCCAGGGGAGATTAAGAAGTCTCAGAGCGGATGTCCGCCTCAGGGCTGCCAGTCCAGCAGCAGCAGACCTCGATGGGGTGCACGCAGGGGGCCCTGCCCCTGCCAGGCAGCAAGCCGATGGCACCGGGCGCCGTCCTGTTGCCCACACGAGCCGTCGAAGCGGCTCACAAGTGCTCCTGGGCAGCAGCAAAACCCTACACAGAGGTGCTCCGGTCCCCCACTGGCCTGGAAGTTGGCTTGAGATGGGGACAGCCTTCAGTCCAGGTCCAGAGAGCGGCCTGGGGCTGCTCGGCACCGCTCGCCCTGGGGCCTGGGCTGCGTAGAGAAGTGTCCCTGAGTGATGACCTCGAACCAGCCTGGGCCAGAGAGAGGCAGGGGTGCAAGGGCGGCCCACCCCACGGCCCCGTCGCAGGCCCGGCAGGCCCCTCCGCCCCGAGACCCCTCTCCTCCCTTGCCTCCTACATCCAGAGTGGCTGGAGGGTTTGCCAGCTGGCTTCCACTCCGCCTTTCTGTTCAGCTCAGCCAGAAAGCTGAGGGTGCTGAGTGGGGGCGGGCCGGGCCCCCTGCAGAGCTTGCCCTGTGTGGGCCCACAGATGCACCGTCCCCATCGCCCAGGCAGAACTGTAATCCCTGGTTTGGGAATTCTGCGACCTCACACAGTTTGGGCAAAGCTGCGGAGACCCTGGTGACCCCCACCGTGTGCCTGGTTCTTGGGGTTCCAGATGTAACTACTCCCTGTCGCTCTCTGTCTAAAACAAGGGCGTCGAAGGTCAGAGTATTCACGGGGGGAGGGACAAGAAGCCACCGTTTCATTCTGGCCAGAAACTCAAAGGTGAGGTCAGAGGAGGAGGAAACGGGCTGGAGAGGAGTTAATCTTTGATGATCAGATAGGCTGGGGGGTGAATGATTAACCTGCGTGTCTTAAAGGTTAGCAGAGGCCAGGGAGGCTGTGGTGCAATTTCCCCTCCTGACCGACTGTGCTGTTATTTTTCTGACGTGTCCAGGTTCCCCCTATTATTACAGTTCCACATCGAGGCCGAGCGCGCCGCCCACCACCGCCACGGCCTTTGACCACCTGTAGTCGCCATGGGGACAGTGGGAGCGAGGAGCAGCAGGACGGGGTCTGGGACAGGCCCCGGAGAGTCACAGAAAGGAATCTTTATTTATTACATGAAAATAACCACAAGTCCAGCCGCGCAGGTCACACTCCTGTGTGGTGGACCTAATGGACCATGACAGACAGGATGACTTTGCAGAAGGCCAGACTGTCCTCCTGGATTCCTCAGTGAGGCGGGGTCCCAGGGAGGGACACCCCACCCGAAGACACCGCACTGGAGAGATGTGGAGAGCGAGGAGCGGCGGAGAGCTGGAGGGGATGGCGTCAGGGCCCGCCGTGGCTCCGGGGCCCAGGGCTCCGCCGTGGCTCCGCTGTGGCTCCACCGTCCACACACTCGAGCGGTCCTGGGTTGTTAGCACTTCTGTCCAGCCCACGAGTCACAGCCGGTGCAAAGGCTGTCCCCACAGCCACCCTGAGGCTCACTCCACTGAGCTGCCCCAGAGTTGAGGCTCCTGCTGTCCACCTTCTTGACCCAGCCTGCCCGGCTCCTCCTGCACCTCCCTCTTGGCCAGGGGCTGGGTCCAGTCAACCACAAGCTCCACCCGGCGGTCAGGGGCCTTCCTTCTGCCTGCTGCCGCGATGTCCCAGCGCACCAGCTTCTCCCGCCTCGTCCCAGAGACCAGCCTCTCTCAGCTGGAGACGGACTTCCCCAAGTGCCCTGCCTCGGCCCAGCCGCCCGCGCCCCCGGCGGCCTGCTGCCACCCGCCCTTGGCACCTGCCGCTCCTGCCCCCAGGCCTGACTGAAATGCAGCTGTGGTTGGCCCGGCTCCCTCTGTCCACCCAGACTGCGGCCTCTCCGTGCATTGTCTCCCTGCCATGTTGGCTTTCCCCATTGCTTCTTTCTTTTATAAAGACCACCGCCATTGCCACTCAACTCAATAAACCATTATTCCGTTTCCGACTTCGGGTTGACTGGGGAGGAGGCCCCGGGCTGGGCTTGTCCAGAGAGCCTCCGGCCCAGTGGACAGTGCGCTCACTTTGGGATCTGGGGTGTACGTGCCGTCCAGTGCGCAGGAGCCCCGACTTGGCGCTCTGCCCTCGCTGGCGTGGTCGCAGCAGGCGGCCGCCTGTCCCACGCTTCGCCTCCAGCTCTGAGGGGGAGCCGCGCCGGGAACGGCCGTCCACAGGCGCAGCCGGGACCCTGCGGCCTGGGAGGAGCGAAGTGAGAAGCCGGGCCTGGGCTCTGCTGTGCGGGGCACACTGTGGGGCTCACATCCTGAGGCTGGGTCAGCCCGTTCCACCTGGGGGCAAACTGAGGCTCAGAAAACATGAGCTCCTGGGGGGAGCCAGTGGCTTCAGTCAGGTGCTCTTAGCGTAAGTCCAACACTTTCACCCAACACCTCGGGGCCCCGCCTGGCTGCCAGAGGGTCCTAGATGCAGGATGGCAGTGCCAGAGGGCGGAGGGAGCCTGCAGGACAACCCCTTCCTGAGAAATGTTGGAGAACAAGGGGGTACATACCATGGTGGGTGCAAGGGTTCTGTCCCCAGCAGGGTGCTGTCCACACGAGCCTGCAGTGGCTGCTGGGCAAGGGCAGGGCTGTGTGCCGGATCTGACCGCTGGGCAGCAGTCAGGTCGGGCATCCAGGGCCCAAGGATGGGAGGGCAGAGGCGACAAACAGGAGCGGCCAAGGGTGCTCACCAGGACGACGAAGCCACAGGTCTGGGGAATGTTCCTGTGGAGGGAACCAGTCCCTGTCTCTTCCCAGGGGATCTGAGATCAGGCTGGTCCTTACATAACAGGACTTCCCACCGGCTATGAGCCTGGAGGTGGGACCGAACCCCATATACCTGAGACTCCTCATGACCCTGAAACTCTGCGTTCCTGAGGCCCAAGGCAGCCCCCACCTGGTTCTGGGGCCACCGCAAACTGCCACCCAAGAATCACTGTGAGATGCACCCCGGGAGCCCACAGAGCGGTCAGAACGCTGGTGCCCTGGCTGGACTTCTCCAGCCCTGAGTGTCAGAGGGACCTGGCGGTGCTTGTGTGGTGGCAACAGGGTTCACGCCGGGCTCCCGCAGTGACCCGAGCGCCCCGAGGCAGCTCAGAGTGGTGCTGGTGGCAGGCAGACTTTCGCCCCGGTCGAGCCGCGCAGCCACGGACGCACTGGGAGAAGACGGTCCGGGGGCTGCAGGGAGAAGCTGGGCGGCACCTGAGGGCACTGTAAGAGGGATTTGGGGGGATGGTAAGGAGGATGGAGGAGGCTGCAGAGGCCCAGCCGGAAGCCACCCTCTCGGGCGCGGAGGGTGGGAGCATCGCAGCTTGGCGGGAAGGGGCTGGTTGGATGGTCGGGCCCTGGTTCTCTGAGGGCCTGTTGGAGCCACGTGCTGGCAGGAGACTCTGGAGGACGGCATGGCCGGAGGCACGCCCCCAGCACGCCCCCCGGGCCCCGCCTCTCCTGCCCCCGCCCCCGGAACAGCCCCTCACGGCCTGTGTGGACAGGGCTCTGCTTCACAGGCTGCTCCCTGGTCCCTCGTGCTCGCCCTCCGTCTAGGGCCCCTGCCCTCCCGCACCAGCTGGGCCAGGCCAGGCACCTGGAGCCCACAGAGGCCCGTGCGGGCCAGGCAGCCCCATGTCCCGTGGGAGACAGAGCAGCTTGAACCCTACCTGGGCCCACCAGGTGGGGCAGAGTTCATCCTTCTAAGGTGGGGTGGAGGCTGGGGAGGGGGCAGCTGGGAGACCTGCCTCCAAGGCCAGGCCGAGGCTGGATCCAACCCGCCCCTCAGTCTCCAGTACTCCTGCTGTCCCTTGTTACTGAGGAACACGAGTGCCCTGCCCCTTCTTGCGGGCCACACACGACCCTCGGACAAGCTCACGACCCTCGGACAAGCTCACGCAGGGGCGTTGCTGCTGCAGCCCCGGGCAGGGGCCTGCTGAGAGCTGGGCTGCTCCTGCTCCTCCCCACACCCACCCGCCGAGGCTCCCTGCGGCGCTCCTGGTGTCCTGGTCCTGGGGCAGGTGCTGGGGGGGGGGGGCTGTCCCCAGCGCTGGGGCTCCGTCCTGTCCCTCCTTCACCGGCCACTCAGCTGCCCCCTATGCCCTGTCCTCCCTCACCCTCAGAAGTCATGACAGCCCTTCACGGAGCAGGACTGTCTTTCTGCTCTTGAAACTTGTCTGCGTCCACTTCCCTCTCCAGTCCAGGGCCTTTCGGAATCGTCCCCAGGCGCTGGGCCGCGGCTGAATCTGCACCTCAGCCAAGGCCTCGGTGCGCGGATGCGGCCAGGCGTCCGCGCAGGCCCCAGGCAGCTTTGCTCTGTGGGGAGGGACAGATTCCTGGCCCCCAGCTTGGCGAGGGGGAGTGCGGGGTGGTCCCGTGTCCCCTCCCTCGTGCTCCAGGTCGTCCCCCTCCAGCCTTTAGGTCACAAAGCACGTCTGTCTGAGGAGGCCTGCCGCTCCTGGGCCCCAGGTTGTCACCGTCGGGCAGGAGTGACCCCCTGAGCTGACTGCGGCTGTGATTCCGGTGAAAGCTGGGGTCCCCAAGTGACCTCTCCCACCTCCTTCTGTTCCTTTTCCCTCGTTTAGGTCCCCGTTCCTCCCTCTTCTGCTGGGTCCCAAGCAATGGTTCCTTCTGCCACCATGAAGAGACTTTGCGGCTCCAGGCTGGGGAGGGTTCAGAGGCCCTGCATGTGGTCAGGTGACGCCCTCTCCACCCTTCTCTCTGGCTTCTGGTTCTTCTCCTTCCTTCTTCCCTTCCTCTTGCTGCTGAGGGGCCTGGGGACACTGCAGGGGATGGGGGCCGTTACCTCCGGGTGGTGGAGACCCACCCTCCACTCCCGTGGCACAGGCCGCACTGCCCTCAACCCAGCTCTGGGCTCCGAGCCCTCGGACGGAGCTGGTGGCCTGCGCCCTGGAAGGGGCTCTGGGAGCCGGACCCTCCGGCCAGCACCCTCCGTGGACGGCATCCTTCCTCCTCTTTCCGGGCAGCGAGGGGCCAGGTCCCAGCTGAGGACAGGCGTCCTGGAGATTGGAGCCAGGGCTCGGGTCTCCCGGGGTGGGAAGTGGGGCGCAGGGTGGGGGAGGTGGCCCAGCGCCTCCATCTGCGCCCGTGGCAGCCGGCCAGGCTGGGCGGTGAGGTGCGGCCCGCGGCCCTCCCAGGGAAATGCGATTTTCCCGAGTGAAGCGGACTGTGCAGTGTGGAAATTGGCTCTTTTCTGAGCCAGCAGCGGCTGAGGTGCTGTCTGCAGGCTGGGCCGCGGGAAGCGCGCTGGCCCCTGGAGCGCGCTGGGAGCAGCCATGTGCTGAGAACTCATTAGGGATAAATCAAACCGGCACCAGCTTGGAGCCAACACCCCCCACACTGTGCCCAAGACCCCCACTCCTCGCCTCCCCCCCCACCAAGGCACCTCCCTGTCAGAGAGCCGGCCAGGCGCCATAGACACAGCCCTGGAGCCCAGACCTGCCTGGAGGAGAGACGCGTGCCTGTATAGATGCATATCTACTCGTTCTACGTGTCTGCTTTTTGGGGTGGGCCACCGGTAGCAAGCTTAACTGACAACAAAGGCCTTGCTAGGAGCCCGAGCCAGGAGCTCACCTCTTCCCACCGCCCGCAGGCTGCCTCCTACCGCCCTGGACGCCAGAGGGCAGCACTGGTCTCCCCACATCCACCCGGAGATGAGAGGCCCAGCCCCCCCCCCCCCGGTCCCCAAGGACTGCAGCAGAACAGAAAGTCCCTGAGACAGGAGTTTGGTCTGGATGGAAACTCATCTCCCCACCAAAGGGAAGGAGAAAGGGGTACAAAGGAGGCGGGAACCCTGCCCTTCCCGGGACCGAGCTGTGGGGGTCCCTGGGCCTGTTAGTTATTGTCATCACCTTTGTTCCCATCCCTCCTGCTAAAGAGCCAGGGCCTGGACCCCGTCACCCCCTCCCCACGGACGCCTGCTGGGGGCCCTGTGCTTCCTCAGCTGTGAAATGCCAAGCGCAGGCCAGGATGCCACCTGGGTCAGAGAAAGGCAATGCAGCTTCATCT